ATAAGCAAATTGGGCATTATTTTGTATGTTGTCTTAATATGATGCATTATTTGCATACTCAAATACCCAATATATTCATTGTTGTCCGCGGGCTTCAAGTCCATCTTCAGTGCCGCTTTCGCTCTCGTGCACATTTTCCTCTCCAGTGCCGCTCGGCCGGAGGAATTTGGTGCTACATGAGGCTCCGATGGTTGCTTTCATTAACTCCATCAGCGGCGGGAGGCATGGGCCTGAGCTCAAGCTCTGCCTTCACCAGCTAATGGCTGAAGAACAGGTACGAGAGATGTGGCAGTTGGTGTTTAGTTGAATGTAACGGTGTGATTTATCTTTGCGTAGTTAAGCACGAGCTTGAGCTCTAGCTTCATATGGTAATAGCTGTCTGAAGGTACTGGTTCACGGGGGCATTCATCGACGAGATCGGAGGGTTTGCAATACAATTGATGGGTTTCTTCTTCAGGACAGTGGTCATCTTCACTTCGGCCATCCCTTTACCACCAATGGACCTTGCCAGACAATTGAATCGGATTTGTGATCATGTACTCGTTCTCCTTCTTGTTCACAAACTTCGGCCCTAACGCCACCGCATTTGTGGTCCGCGCCGAGAGCGTCCCAGCACGGCTCAATCGGACTTGTCACGGCATATCTGTGGCGGCTGGCAAGACTGGGTCCTTGGCGGGTGCATTAAGTACCAGCGTTAGGAAGACCTTGATGATACTCGGCATGAGCAATTTTTTTGGGATAGTGTTCACCTTCTTGGCGCCGGGGTCGATGGGCCATTCGCTCGAGGAAGTCTCTGGAGAGCATACGGAAGATAATGCAACTGGGTTGAGAAATGTCCCTGTTTAAATGGGCCTCAAAGTCTAAACATATGACACTTTTTGTTAATGTAAGTTAGCTTTGGTACTGTTTTAGACCAAATAAGCTCTGCCTTTTCGGGCCTCTGATCATGTTGACCTTTGTTGAATAGATTCATGCCATCATCCTTGAAGCTTGAGCTATGGTTATTGAAGTAGAGGCAGATGTATCTCCATGGTCATATAATCTCATTTTGACAAGTTAATCTAAGTTCTTAGTCCAGCATAAACTTTCACATGCCTTCCAATTCCTGCTTGCAATTTCCTTCTTGTACTTCTGGCTTATCTTCAAAGATAGTTAGATCTTCTATCATCGATCGGGTCATTTTGTGAGCATAGAGGGAGAAATCCCTTTCATCTTGAGTTTCCGTACTTATTGCCCGTCATATTCATGAAATTTTCAGCTGGATAATTTCAATTCATACAGAAGAATAGCGATGTATAAGTATCCACTTGACAGAGAAATAGAAGAAAATGATTGCAATAAAAGACCAGTCCTCACATGCTGATCCATTCGAAGTGGAGCTTCAGATTTGCACCCAAGCACGAGTTGTGCTCAAATGAGAACTTCGGAAGATCGAGTTTTGAACGCAAAGCATCCATGCACGGTTCCTTTGAAACGACCATCATCGTCTAGGCCTGGACTAGTATAGTCCTCAAGAACCATCTTGTTTTCCACTTGCAATGAATAAAGGCACATGGCAAAGCAAAGCAAGATACGTAAGCTTCCTTCTACGAGTCGGAGTCGGCTTTCAACGTGTCGGAATCAGAGCCATGCCCCAAATATATAAATACTTATTTTTGTCTTGGATGAGTGTGCGAAGCAAAGGTACTAGTAGCACATCTATTAAGTTTGGATTAAATTCTTATAGATTTCATCTTGGCGCCGCACGTCTCTTCGTCAATTATATCTTGACACGTGTTGAGACTGATTAAATCTCGTGGTAAAATTTGTGCAATTCCATCGTGAGATTAAGAAATCATTTCGTGAGAAATTGAAGACTAAACATGATATGAGTTATTAGGTATCGGATTGAAAAACATTAAAGTATTTGAGTGGGGCGAGTGTGATTGTAATCTCCGTTGTATTGATTGACCTTCAGTGAAATTCTTTATTGCTCTTCCCGTAGACATAAGTCACTTCGACCGAACCACGTAAATCTGATAATTAATTTATTGGATTGTTATGTATATTTTATTGTTCGATTGCTTACCTTCTGCAACACGTGCAATCAAGTCAATTACATAAAAGGGGTTTTTGGACCGAAATATTATATAAAAAAGAGTTGGTTTTGGTTTTATTAGATGAGGGAGCAGAGAAGCTTTTGGCGGCAACAATCAATTGTGTGGCAATGCTTGTGGATAACATTATGATATAACTTCACGTGTTTTGAAGCTAAATAAATCTTTGTGGCAAGATTTATGAACGCTTAATTTGTATCGGTCAGGTGATGATCCTCCACTGCTTTCGTTTATTCTTCTTGCTGTCAGTTTAAAGGACGCGAGTTTATATTTATGGAGTATAATCGGAGATTAGAGCGAAATCTCTCCTGAAGGTGTTGTTAAATTCCCTCGTTCACCCTCCGTTGCTTTGCAGATAAAATTTGTCAACTCCATTGGAATAACCATAAACTCTCATCCGTATATTTGATTTCACGAAAATTTTTATGCTTGATATACTTGATTAAAATGCCAATAGGCATGCGGCCCTACTGGTAAAACGATTGGGGGTGGGAACGCTAGTATCACAGGTGCGGGGTTCGACTCCCGCTCTGTAAGAAGCAAAGTAAAAATCTGCTCAAATTCAGTATCAGTTCCCTGTCCATTGAATGACTTCGCGTGATTTCAACAAACCAGCAAAAATTTCGATAAATCTGGGATGTCATTAAGGAACTGTCGCGTTTAAATTTGGATTTCTCAGCTTATTTTTGCACTCTAGCTGTTTGTTGCATTTCCTTGTCCAAATTCTTTTGTTATCGCTATGCTCTGTCTCACCCGCCAAGATTCTGTCGATCTTGCTTGCCTTGCAGATTACGTAGGAATTCCATTGGTGAAGTTTGTCCCTATGACCCAGCGACCAATGGATAGGTCTGTAGAACCTTCCTTCACCAGTGGTATTAAGGATTATTCGATGTTGAGTAGAGCTCAAGCTCCAGTTCAAACTGCTCCGGTATCCCCTTTATTTGAGTTCAAGCTTATCAATATACTCAGCTGTACAAGCTCACGGGCCTAAAACGAGATTAATCGAGCATCGATTGTTTTTTTCTAAAACATTTAAGAGTTGCAAGAATAGAGAAAGAAGTCGTTAAATTTATACAGTCTTTTTTGCTTATGAGATCTAGCTCGAGTCTAATTATAAGTTGATTGTCTTGGAATTTATTTCAGGGGACATTAAGTATGCCGAGTTTTTAGTCTAGTTGAGCTCAAACAGTTAATATTCAAGTTGAGTTTCGAATGTGAGTCAAGTCGAGCTCAAAACTTCACAGCTTAATTAGCTCGATCACTCTCTTATTATGGACTTCAAATTTAATGACGGCATTGAGTTCATTTCTTGAAATGGTTCGGACAGTTTTGGAATTCATGTGCTGGAACTACCAAATTAGACCTGACTAGTCGCGACATTAAGTTTGCCATGAATTTTGTTTTAGAAGAAGCTAATCGGGCATTATTTTGCATGTTGTCTTAAAATGATGCATAATTTGTATGCTTAGATACCCAATACATTCGTCGTCCGCGAGCTTCAAGTCCGTCTTCCGTGCCGCTTTCGCTCTCCTCTCGTGCACGTTGTCTTCTCCAGTGCCGCTACATGAGGCTCCAATGGTTGCTTTCATCAACTCCGTCAGCGGCGGGAGGCATGGGCCTGAGCTCAAGCTCTGCCGTCACCAGCTAATGGCCGAAGAACAGGTACAGGAGATGTGGCAGTTGGTGTTTAGTTGATTGTAATCGTGTGATTTATCTTTGCGTGGTTAAGCAGGAGCTCGAGCTCTAGCTTCATATGGTAATAGCTGTATGAAGGTACTGGTTCACGGGGGCATTCATCGACAAGATCGGAGGGTTCGCAATACAATTGATGGGCTTCTGCTTCATGACAGTGTTCATGTTCGATTTGGCCGTCCCTTACCACCAACGGACCTTGCCAGACATTTGTGTTTATGTTCGAATCGGGTTTGTGATCATGTACTCGTTCACCTTCTTCTTCTTCACAAACTTTGGCCCTAACGCCACCACATTTGTGGTCCCTGCCGAGATCTTCCCAGTGCAGCTCAATTCGACTTGTCATGGCATATCTGCGGTGGCTGGCAAGACCGGGTCCTTGGCGGGTGCATTCAGTTTTATGTTTCAGCCGACGGGACCAGCGTTAGGAAGACCTTGATCATACTCGGCATGACAAATTTCTTTGGGATAGTGTTCACCTTCTTGGCGCCGTAGTCGATGGGCCATTCGCTCGGGGAAGTCTCTGGAGAGCATGCGGTAGATAATGCAGCTGGGTTGAGAAATGTCCCTGTTTAAATGGGCCTCCAAGTCTAAACATATGAGCTTTCTAGCAGACTTTTTGTTAATGTAAGTTAGCTTTAGTACTGTTTTAGACCATATAAGCTCTACCTTTTTCGGCCTCTGATCATGTTGACCTTTGTTGAATAGATTCATGCCATCATCCTTGAAGCTCGAACTATGGTCATTGAAGTAGAGGCAGATGTATCTCTATGGTCATATAATCTCATTTTGACAAGTTGATCTAAGTTCTTAGTCCAGCATAAACTTTCACATGCCTTCCAATTCCTGCTTGCAATTTCCTTCTTGTACTTCTGGCTTATTTTCAAAGATAGTTAGATCTTCTATCATCGATTGGGTCATTTTGTGAGCATAGAGGGAGAAATCCCTTTCATCTCGAGTTTCCGTACTTATTGTCCGTCATATTCATGAAGCTGTTAGCCAGAGAGTTTCGATTCATATAGAAGAATAGCGATGTATAAGTACCCAGTTGACAGAGAAATAGAAATCGATGATAATTGCGATAGAAAAACCAGTCCTCAAATCCCGACAAATTTAAAGTGGAGCCTCAAATGCGCACACAAGCACGAGTTGTGCTCAAATGAGAATTTCGGAAGATCGAGCTTTGAAAGCAAAGCGCATATGCACGGTTCCTTTGAGATGACCATCATCCTCTAGGCCTGGACTAGTATAGTACTCAAGAAGCATCTTGTTTTCCACTTGCAATGAAAAACTCCTTGAAGAATCTATCTTTCGTACAAGATATGAATAGCATAGCATGAACCAACTCTTAGTACTTGAAAATGTGTCATCATGCCTGTCGAATGTAAGAGGCATAAGGACAAGCTTACAGCAATGTTAAGTCCAAAAGTAGGGACATGAAAGGGGAATCAAGAATCAAGAGAGTAGCAGAATCGAAGAGAGAGACGTGCAATCAATTTCTCACTCAATTTTTCCACTACATTACTCTCCTGTATCTGAAAACAAACAAATTATTTCACAACCTCATAACTAATGAAAGCTTGAATTGAAGCAGTCATACACCCACTGCATATATTCCTCAGTTCAGTAACTCTATAAACTTCAAGCCTTCCCAGCTTGCCCTTGAATGGCATAGAGTACTATCCAAGGCTACAGATGAAGGCTCCTCGAGACCATCTTTAGCAAAGTACATTGACGTTCCGAGAAACAAGTCCATCTTAAAGCAAGTAACGAGCGAATCACTTGGTCAAACGGACATTATATGTCGATCATATGGCAAGTGGCTTCAGCTGATGTGCTATGCTCATCCTGCAGATATACTCTCCAACCCCTGAACTCCAAAGCTTAAATCAAATTCATATCTAAATGGAAGTAGGCAAGGAAGGGGTTTTTGTCCCAGAGGTAGACAATTTTAGAGAGATAAATAGCCTGGCCAACAATGGCAGCTTTCAAGCAATGCCGATCCCACGCCATCATGGTTCTTACACAAACATGATCTATGCGAAACCTAAAATGTTGTAGGAAAAGGCTCGGCACAATTTGAAGAACATTAACACCAATATCCATGGAAAGCGGGCAATATTAAAATTAATTTCCCATGAGTGGTGCCAAACCCAAGTTCGGCAATTCAAATCTGTTCCTATAAACCCAAAAAAAACAAGCTCATAATTGAAGTTTTTATTGGGTGTACTGTTAGAGCCAAACCAGCAGAGGCAAATCCTTACCATATCATGAAAATGTTAAGCAGAAACTGGGAGCAACTTACAAAGCAAGTCAAGACCCATCACTAAACCAGTAGACATGCAGTCTCTAAATGCATTTGAAACGGAGCACAGCAGTATATGGTCACATATCAAAATCACCACTCATGTACCATCAGACGTAGAGAGACAAACATAGATAACAATCAACAAAACATATGCAATCATTCCACCTCCCCGCCGCGAGTCTTCCAAGCAACGCTGCTGCAAACTTTATCAGACTGGATGGACTCTTCTCTATCAGAAGATACAGGGAGCCCAATGATGAATTCATCCGCCTCCCGCAGATCACCACGAAAGCATTACTCGGAGAAGTCCATATCTAGCTTACCGATGATGACAGAGTCAAATTACTAGCTCAAGGATGCCGTAAAAAACCGACCAAGAAGAAGAATTTCGACCCCATTTTCTGCAATGTCCGGAAGCCTCGCTGCCATCGGCGTGACATTCCACGACGAGCCCACGCCACATCTTGTCGACGCGTTCGCTTCAACAAGCTGCCATCGCTTTCTCTTGGACGAACTGCACTAACCCCGGTCGAACGCGAGCGAAGCTTGCCGGACGAAGGGCTCGAAGCTCGCGGACGAAGGGATTTAAAGCTTGCGGACGACGGAACCGGGGAGAGAAGAGACGACGCGAATGAAGGTCGCGAGGAACGGTGAGAGCCGGGGCGGCGCCGCCGGCGGCGATCGGGCGGCGACAGCGATTTGCTTAAGCAGCAGGAGAGAAGAAAGAAAACGTGAAAAATTGAAAATCTAAATCAATTTGGGGTTTCGACCCAAAAAAATATATTCAATTTGGGGATTTTCTTCAATTTTTTATCGTATTATAAATTTCAGATTTGGGATTTTTCTTCAATTTTTTTATGTAATTGCGAATTTCGAACCAAATTAACTCGGTTCAGTCGCCAGAAAGTGTTGATCGGTGAACATTTGGCCGGCTGGCGGGCCCAGACTTGGCCACCTCATTTCTTTATCTGAAACAAAGTTCATTTCATGCCTAATTTCATGTTTTTATTTGGAATTTTCCTGATATATTATGTTATGATGCTGCTTACCCTGATTTAGTGAGTTTCGCTTATTTTACTTAAATGAATATTGATTCTTCCAACGGCATGTAATAATAATTTTCAGAATTACGAAGAGTGTTTGTAATTATTTGTAACTAGTACAATATTGCAATTTAACAAGCCCGGAGTACTAAGAATTCACACATTCATTTATATGCTACAAGGGTATTTCTAGTTTTCCCTTTTCCGAGTCGTATTAATTCTTACTGGATGTGATAATTCTTTCGTTCCTAAGCGTACGAAATAGTTATCAAACACACTTAGCTTGTTGCTACCCAGATTGTTGCGAACAAAATACTCAAAATATAATGATTGGGAAATAGGATAATTTTGAACGTTCTAATCCGATCAACAGGGATTTAATCCATGCTTACATTATTTTTGTGATGATATTCCTATCTCGCAAAGTAGGCGCCATTCGGGTTCGTTTATTTTTATTTTTGTTCGAAAACAATAAATTTGCCTAATTTGTTTTTGGGTTTTATTTAAATAATTCTAAATTGATTGAAAGCGCAAAATAGTAAATGTTTATTTGACATCACTTTTATTGGATAACTTTTGTCATGCCTAAAGAGCAGTTGCTTCGTCTATTTCATTATTGGACGATAGCTTTTCCTCATAAGCTACGTAGTTACAACAAGCTAGTTAGAATTTTAAAAAAAGTTAAATACATTCATTGCTTGGCAACACTTTAAGAAAAAAAATTGTCTATTTTTTTTATCCAAAATAATACAATTACATTCTATAAAACACAAAAAGAATTCCTTAAATAGAAGAGATCTATAATATTTTTGGTTATAAACTTTCTTTTTATTAATAATAAATTAGAGTTACTCCGAATGCCCTTTTTTTGTATGAAAAGCAATTTTCTCTTGTATTCGAGATAACAAGTTATACTCGCTTTTGTTTTTGAAACATCAACTTATCCATAGTCATCATCTAAAGGTATTTGGAATGTCCTAAACTGCCCTTCTTCTATATACTAGAAATTATAACAAATCTCGTATAACCCTAGTATATATTGTGCATTAGCATTTTCGGAATTGTTAATTGTTCAATGAAATTTTTCCCTTCCAATCTTTCATTTACTAATATATTGGTATTCTCGTATTATCCTTCGCTTATTTTTTTTATTTTTTTTGCACCAAATATGTACTAGAGACAAAGTTAAGTCGTGTTGGTCGTGGCTGGGAAGGAAGAGGGTTCCTGCTGCCTCGACCGAATCGACGATGTCGTCGGAGACGAACGACAAGCAAAGGCCAAGGTGGGTGCAATTGCTTTGCCGAGGGTAGGGGACACGAAAGTCGTTCAAAGTTGCTTTCAATGAAGGTTGATTTGGAATTAGGTAGATTGCCCGTGAGAATGATGAAGTTCCAACGGGTGAGGAAAGTCTTTTAATGCGACATGGTTCCGATCCTGGTACTGAGAGGACCACGAGAGATGGCAGTAGGGTCGCCTCCGGGAAAATTGTCCAAAAAGTCATAAACTTATCGCAGTTTTATCAATTCAGTCAATCTGGCCATCGAATGGACTCAATTGTAAAACATTAAAAAAGTTTTTGACTCAAATAGCGAAATTGAAAGGTTTATGACTCAATTTGCAAAAGCGCAATAGATTTGAGACTTTTTGGACAATTCTCCCGATCGCCTCGGATCGGATGTGGAGCTACTTCAGAGAGAGAGAGAGAGAGAGAGAGAGAGAGAGAGAGGGAGGGAGCTCCGCTAAAGCGTATTTTACATCTTACAAGTTAGCTATCTAAAACTGTAATTCTACTTGCTCAACAATATTTAGCATCAAGCGAAAAGCCCATGAAGTCAAAGCCCCTTTCTATCTAGATGCAAAGTCATTTAATATCGACCGTCAAGTCTCTTAAACGAGCGCAATGCCCGCAACTAAATACCGAACAATCCAATCGTCACAAGCAGCGCGCGCGCGTAGTCCCTCGATCGCAACCTCGTCCCCGACCGCCCCCCCCCCCATTTTCCCATCGCGGCCGCCCCTATCGAGCTCGTCTCGCGACATCACGTGATCTGTGCCCCTCTCTAGCCTCTACTCATAATAATTCCTACACACAAAAGGGCTGTCCAAAAAACACGCGCAAGAAGCGACGGCAAGGTACGGCAGCCGCGCGGCCCGCATTTGCTTTCCAACAACCACCACCCACCCACCCCCCTCACGCTTCTCCTCCTCCTCCTCCTCCTTTACTCGGAATTCGCCGATGCTTCCAGAATCGCCCCAAACCAAGCACACACAAACAGCCCACAGTTATCTCCCGCCGCGGCCGCAATTACCGAACTGGCCCAGCCATCTCCCCCTTTTCTCGAATTTGAGCCCCCACCCCTACCCGTTCCACGTATTAATTTATATATAGATATAGATATAGATATCTTGTTTATGTGGTTTTGCTACCATTGGTTTTGGTTTGGTATTCGGGCTTCGTCTTCCCTTCCTTCCCCCAACATCGTAATAAAATAAAAAAAAGGAGAAAGGAAAGGTGGTAGGAGACTTAAATCTCAGCGAAGAACTTTTATTTGGGCACGTCACGCTTGCTGGCTGCTGCTGCTACTACGCTACACACAAAATTGCAAACAAAAGCTTATCATCATCATCATCGAATTTTCCTTCTTTAAAAAAATCGAATTCGATCGGGCATTTTCCTCCCTTTGTTTTTTTTTGTTTAACCTTGTGATGATTTTTTATGGGTGACCAACAATTTTGAGTACCCGATTATGCCCTCCTCATCCCCAAAGGGCATCATCCATCAATCAGACCGGACCAACGGGGAGGAATATTTTCTTTGTGGGTGTGGTGGGGTGGGTGTTCCTTGATCTGATCTGTAGTTCTTGTGTTGGGATAGTTCTTGATTTCTTCCCCCACCACCACCCCCAAATCTCCTCTTGGGTCCTAGGGTTTCTTCACTTGTTGTTGTTGTTGTTGTTGCCCGGATCAGAATTCTGGGTCAAGATCTTCTCCCTCTGTTGTCATCTGGGATTTGTTGGGATTTGACCTAAATCTTTAATATACACACGCACACATATGTATTGATAGCAGCAGCGGAGAGCAACAGGGATCTCCCCCACTCCACGTCCTTGATTAGGTTAGGGTTAGGGTTCAGATCTGCTCAATTTTGACTTTCAAGCTTTTGGGTCCTTTCTTTTTGTGTGTGTGACTTGGGTTGTTGCTATATTTGGGATTTTGGTGAAGTGCTCTCTGATGACAAGAATCTTGGGTTGTTGTGTGATGGAATCTAGGTCTTTTGGTAGCTGCTTGCTTCTGACAACTCGACTCTTCAAAAATCAGAGACTCTGGATCATGACAACGTAAGATGAACCTCCGGTTTTCGCGGGTTATTTTTGGGAATATAAATCTGGTTTCATTGATTTTTTTTTTTTTGTGTCTTGGCTGCATGAAGGTGAGGTGATTGATTCATCATTGCTGAGATTTGACTTTGGATGAAACTGTGATTTGTATAGATTTTTTCCGGCAATTCGAGGTCGATATGTTGTCAAATGCTGCCCATGATGCGCATGCTCTTGTTCTTTGTGCTGATCTGACATGGCATCGGTGGGGTTGGGATTGTGTCTCGTGGCTTGTCTAAATTTGGAAGTTGCTGCATGCATGTTTGTTGTTCAATGCATTGAGGGTATTTTGGGTAAAAACTTAGCTATCTCATCTATGGAATTAAATTTCATGGCCCCTGCATGCAGATCCTAAATACTGCTTTAGAATCTATATGGAAATTGACAATCGAGTATGTTGAGATGATTTTATGTAACTGTTGGGAGAGTGCTAGCGTTTTGATGCATCCGCATCCTCTGCTAGTACCTTAATCCACGTCATAGGTGACTCTAGGAAGATATAAATCATTGCCATTGCTTCATTATCTCTCTTGGTGTTTTAGAGGAAATTAGTCATTTCTTTCCGGTGTCGTTTTGACTGAATTTGTGATGTTCAAGAGAGCATCGGGGCTTTTAATTCCTCGCCAGAAGCGAGATAACAGCATTCAAAGCGATTGCTAAGCTTTGCCAGGTTCTCTGCATGTAACATTAAAGTACCTAAAGATCGCCTTGATATGATAGAGTTAGAGTCATAAGGTGATATGGATGTGGATTGACTTGGCAGGTAACTTCTAGCTGGAGTTTAGTGCTAGTTAAGTTTGATTAAGTCCTAAGAGCTCTGAATGAGACGCGATTGCAGCATCTTGCGAAGCTTGTCATATCTGCAGAAATAGTTCCAGAATTTGGAGTCTGCTTAGTATTAGGGTTGACATCTAGCACTGAATAAAGATTGCATGCCATAATGGCAGCCATTGGATTTACTATGTTAGCACATGCGTGCTAATTAATTTCTTCTCTTAAAAAAGAAAATAATACCTACTTAACTTAATTAGGGTGTTGTGACTAAGGTTCGATGTGAGATAGCAGTTGGTATTACTCTGGGGACAGGGGACTTCAAA